AATTCTTCCAATCGTTGCTTTCTTAAACGATCGTATTCCTTTTTACACTCATCACGCTTAGAAGTAATCTCTTCAAGATCTCTAACACGTGACAAATACTCTTTCTCACGAATACGATAATCTTCCAAAACACTTAAATTTGGATTGGCATTTTGTATTTTCTCTGAGAATTTTTTTTTTAAAAAAAAATTTATTATATATAAAGAATAGTAGAATATAAAATAAAGATAAATTAGAATACCTTTAAGATCATCGATCTCTCCTTGTAATGTATCTTTGTTCATTGCATTAAGCTCATCATCAGTGTAAATTTGAAATTCTTGCTCCTCATCACCTCTATTTTATAAGGTCAATTAGATAAATGGTAGAATGAATATTTAAAAATATCATCAACACGCTTACCCAATCTCATGAAGTGTAAGTTTGCTAAGAGAATTTCGCCAATGAGTTTCTTTCTGTTTACTTTCTAACAAATGGCGCTCACTATCTTCGAGTTGAGTTTTGATTTTTAACTAATACAATACATAGTGTGATTGGTTATAAAAAAAGATTTGACGTAATGTTGAGAGAATAATAATAAATATAAATATAAACCTCAATTGCTCGAATCCGATTAATTATTTCGGTTTTTTCATCAAGTTTTTCCTTGATCTCATCTAATTCTTCTTTTTTACTTTCCAATATCTAATAATTTAGGAAAAATGTAAATAAGTATTATATATATATTTCTTTTAAACAAACAGATATAATTAAACATAAGTCTGAATAAATACTGATATGGCTTCATCGGCTTTAATACGAATGGAACGAGCAACTTCGGTTTTCTGTTGAATTTCTTCCGTAAGTTTTTCTATGTCATTATTTAATTCTTCTAATTCTCCTTCACTTTTTGCTAGAGAATTTTCGATTTTAATCCTATCCTTTTCCGCCTTTGATTTGGCCACCTGAGACTTGATAATTCGCTCATTTATTAAGACAAGTTGTTCTTTAACATGATCCACTTTAGACTTTTGAGCTCGAAGTTTATCACCTCCAATTTCCAAAATCTTATCTTGCAAAATCTTAATATCCTCTTCAATTTTAGAAGGTTGTCTTTTAAATCTATCTAACTCTTGTATTAGATGATCAATTTGAATTATACTAGATATGTACTGAATATTTATTTTGTCAAATACAGACACTTAGTTCTTTGGCTTTGGTATTCGCTCTA